ACCGGCGGCGGTGGTCGCGTCCGCGTGAAGCTTTCTTTTCGTGACTCCAGGCATGATGTTGTTGTGATTGTTGAGTCTGGAAAAGTTGTGCGACAGAATCATGGTACCGCGGTTCCCAACCAAAGAAACCGCGAAATCTTGGCGGACCCACCTAAAAGTTCGAAAGCCGCAGCTCTAGTTTGCGACTGCATGCGACGAACTCATTCGCTCTACAGCACCACCACGCTTCCCTCCAAGCTATAGGAGGTAACATACGATCGCGACGCAAGAAATACACACTCGAATACCACCAATACTCGCCAATAATCCAATCCAACCAAGACAGCTGAGTTTTCGCAATGGCTCGTGGAAAAGGAACCGCGAGGAAGAAGCAGTCGGTACGCGACAAGGAGCTTTCCAAGAAGCCGATAGCAGGGACACCGAAATCTATGGTCATTCGTATCGGCGCGCAAGAGTGAGTATGGTCGAATCGAGTAACATCCGACTCGTTTGCTAACAACATCTAGAGTAGGAAGATCTGTCTCAGACCTCGTAAACGATGTGCGCCACTGCCTGGAGCCCGATACCGCTATTCGGCTGAAGGAGCGAAGGGCGAATAAGCTCAAGGTATGGCATACATAAGTACCAGCATGATCTGAGCTAACGGCCTCAAAGGACTTCCTTGTCATGTGTGGACCACTCGGTGTCAGCCATCTCCTCCTTTTCTCTCGCTCAGAAGTCGGCAACGTCAACCTCAGACTATGCCGTGTCCCCCGCGGACCTACCCTCCATTTCCGAGTCGAAAACTACAGTCTCTGCAAAGATATCCTCAAGTCAATGAGACGCCCACGAGCCGGCGCAAACGACTTCCTAGTTGCGCCTCTGCTTGTCATGAACAACTTCCTCACCAGCGATGCTGAAAGAGAACGACTTGGCGACAAGGCGCCTCCTAAACATCTCGAGAAGCTTGTGACGGATATGTTCCAGGGCCTGTTCCCGCCCATTCAACCACACACTACCCCTCTACACTCGATCAAGCGCGTCCTCCTGCTCAATCGTGAGCCTCCTTCGGAAGAGAACGGTTCCGTCACAATCAGCCTGCGACACTACGCGATCACAACGAAGGTCACAGGCGTACCGAAAGCTATCCGCCGGTTATACGCAGCTGAGAAGCTGATTGGCAGCAAAGAGAAGAAGAAGAGCGCACTGCCTAACCTAGGCAAGCTGGAGGTAAGCAGTAACTCCCTAAAATGCATATAGAACATTCACTAACTCCACCTCCAGGACGTCGCAGACTACATGCTCGACCCGTCAGCCGCCGGCTACACATCCGCCTCGGACACCGAACAAGACACCGACGCCGAAGTCGAAGTCGCGCAACCCGTCCGCCAAAAAGTCCTCTCCCGCAAAGAAAAGGAAAAGCTAAAAGCCGGCGACGAAACCTCGCACGCCCGCGCCCGCGGCTCAAAACCCCGCGTCGAGAAGCGCGCCGTCAAGCTCGTCGAACTGGGTCCGCGCATGAAGCTGCGCCTTACAAAAGTCGAAGAGGACGTCTGCGGCGGCAAGATCATGTGGCATGAATACATCAAGAAGAGTAAGAAAGAGGAGCAGGAGTTGGAGAAGAAGTGGACACAGAGGAATAAGGAGAAGGAGGAGAGGAGACGCGTTCAGAAGGAGAACGTGGAGAAGAAGCGCAAGGAGAGGGCTGCTGCTAGGGGGGAGACTGGTGAGGGTGAGGGAGAAGGAGAAGAGGATGAGGATGAGGAGATGGATGATGATCTTTTGGATGCGTATGATATGGATGATGACGTTTGGCAGGATGCTGCTGATGCTGGGGAGGAAGAAGATGAAGATGAGGACGAAGAGATGGAGGATGAGTGATGTGATCTGATAGAAAAGTCTTAATGATACCCTGAATGTTCAACGCTTCATCCTGAAATCCAACCAATCTATGCTTCAGTTCCAAGGCACATGCAATACAACCGGGTATCAAAACACCATCCCCCCACAAGCCACTTCATCCCTTCATCTTCTTAATCAAAACCCTCTCCCCATCCGCACTCAATTCCCACCCCACACCCTCCTGCACCAACTCCTCCCAGCTCCTCTCCGCACACCTCTCCACAAACGCCCTATCCGCACTCAAATACGCCCTTCCCAGACACTTGAGCGCATGCACCCTCACCCCTCCATCCGCCCACTCCATAACCCTCCTCTGATACCCATCCACACTCCTCCTCACTCGCCAAAACCCCACGTAATCATCCGCCACAAGACACCTCAACACCTTCTCCACCCTCCAATCTTTATATCCATACCGTAGCTTCGTGGCTCGGGCGCCGGAGTAGTCGGATTGTCGGCAGGCTTGGTCGAGGATCAACAAGCCGACGACTTCGTGCAGGGTCGATGGCGATAAGGGGTTTACGGGATGGATTTTCCCGAGGAGGGAAAGCAGAGAGGGCAGGTAAGACGACCAGTCGTGGCAGAGGATGCTGACGTGGATGGCAAAGGTGTAGGCGCGCAGGGCGAAGGCGTCGGTTCGTGAGGACGCGGTTATGGCTTCGCGGAGCTTGCGCAGGGAGGCGAGGACCGTGGAGAGTTCTTGGATGGAGGGCGTGAAGGCCTTTTGGGGTATGGGCTGATGTGGTGTGTTTGTGGATGTTGAGGCGAGAGGTGGGCGGGTGGTGGGTTGTTGACGGGCTTCTGGGGGTGCGTGTTTGGAGAGGGAGAGCGAGGAGAAGGAGGATGTGAGTTTGGAATTCGCGGTGGGCGCTGTCGTTGTCTTGTTCGTCGTGGTCGTGTCGGGAGGCGGGATGCTGACGGATATGAAGAGGCGGTCTAGTTCGTCGCGGTTGAGGGCGCAGAGTTTCATGTAGCGTTCTATTATGCGGTTGAAGTAGATTTCTTGTGTTTTGAAGTCGTTCAGCCTGGGGAGTTAGCCATTGTGAGCGGACGTATGGGGCGAGAGGGATATACCGTGTCTCTCCTTTGGAAGGGAGTCCGTATGTCTCCAGGACATCTTCGCGGACGGGCTTGAGGCGGTTCCATGCACCTGAGGCGGCGCGACGGCTGCTGGGTCGGCCGGGATCTGAGGACTTCATTGCGCTGGTGGTGGGGTTGGGCGTTCTGGTGGAGAGCGCGGGAGATCAAGTTATGTCAAAGACTCGATTGATCATGGCTGTATATCACCTAGCGTATTTGCGACACATAGTGTGTGGTGGTGAAAGCAACCGCGCTCGAGGGCTGGGAAGAAGGGAAGGTGAGATGGAGGGGCAGCGCACGAGCTCGACGCGTCGGAAATGCCTTGTCTCGTGACAACAGCGAGACCACTGACAATGTTGCCCATAAAGAGCGACTGCGCTGTTAAGGTCATTGCTTTGCTTCAGAAGCGACGTGTTGTCCTCGCAAGCCTGACCGGAGGCGGCATAGTTTACCTAGTTCGCGTGTAGTCCCTGAGGGTATTCGCGGATTCTCCGAGGTCGCTTCACGACATGTGAACTTCCAACAAACACTCATATATTGCAGGCCGCACCCTCAATTCTGAATCAAAAGATTCGAATCACATACTCCCATCATGGAAGCAGCCAAGGAAGCAACCTCAAAAGCCGCGCAAACCGGGAAAGAGCTGGAGCAAAAGGTTGAAGAAAAGTTGATACTACTATGGGACGAACTCTCGCCATGGCAGCAAGACAATCACTACATTCAATCGGGGTACCGCGCTCAATCCAACTCATTTGTCAAGTCCTGGAAGAGTCTCGGGTATCTTCACAACGAAACCGTCAACATCTACACCCATCTCATTGGAGCTGTGATGGCTGCCATCTCCTCCGTCGCACTCTACAACACCCTGGCTCCTCGCTATGACACAGCCACACAAGAAGACGTCTGGGCCTTCAGCTGCTACTTCGCAGGAGCTGTAGCATGTCTGGGCATGAGCGCGACATATCATACGATACAGAACCACTCGCACGAGGTCGCTGTCTGGGGCAACAAACTCGACTACCTGGGCATTGTCTTCCTCATCTGGGGCAGCTTCGTACCCATCGTATACTACGCTTTTGGTAGCGAACCAGAACTGCAAACGACGTACTGGACCATGATCACGACGCTGGCAGCTGGCACATCCGTCGCAGCCACACATCCCAAGTTCCGCACTCCCGCATTGAGACCCTTTCGAGCGCTCATGTTCGTGCTCATGGGACTTTCCGCTGTCTTCCCTGTACTTCATGGTGTCAGACTGTACGGTGTTGACCACCTGCGCAAGAGCATTGGCTTGGATTGGGTTCTCTTGCAGGGTGCACTGTATATTGCTGGCGCTGCTATCTATGCTGCGAGGGTACCCGAGAAGTGGAGCCCTGGGAGGTACGATATCTGGGGCTCAAGCCATCAGATCTTTCACGTCTTGGTTGTTCTTGCGGCAGCTAGTCATCTTGTAGCTTTGGTCACGGCGTTTGACTACGCACATACGCACGGGATGGACAAGGTGATAGATGGTAAGGGAGGCAAGATTTGGACATGAGTACACGATGCTATGGCAAAGCGCAGTCAACTCAAATGCTTAACACCTTCAATGACCGACTCAAGAGTGTAGCCTCGTCCTCTTCGAAACCCTATTCAGAATGCCATGCCGTGAAGGAAGCGATCGACAAGGATGTATTTCGAGAACGCGCACAGACCAGCCGATGACGCCGTGGCTCGATCGCCAGCCACCTTCCCCATAGATTGCACAGATTGGCGTTTGTGGGTCAGGGCAGCCAATCACGCCTCAGCACCGCAGCTTCCGATCTTCGAGCTCTCTTTCCCAGCACTCAGGTTCCCGGCTTCCATTCTTCTTTTCCCTTCCACACCGCCCGTCGCGTCTCTTCCAACTGCTTGCGCATCATTTCTACGCATCACCGCATCCATTGCACCTTTACGCGCATCAATTGCTGTTCCGCCCCGCTTTCGCGACTTTACACGCGGTTTTGCGCACCATAACGTCATCTCTTACCACCTGCCGCTGCTAAGCTACGTTACACACAATGACCGACACTGAGATCCAACAAGGAGATAAGGGTACGTGCCTCTCAATTATCAATCCGAGACCCCTTCAGCTGTTCAGTGGCTGCGCATCGCGAGGTTCCGCCAGGCGCATTGCGCTCACTGGCGCGTAACGATTGCCCATCCGCGCGCGTCTTACTTGCCGCGATCGGTATAATTGCAAAAGACTCAGGAACTCACTGCTAACTTGTGAGCAGTCTCATGGAACTGGGGCTCCGGACAGCCCGGTGGCACCGCTGCCGAGGTCAAGGACCAAGGCGAGATTGCCATTGAATCCAAGAAGGGCAACACTATCAAGAAGAACGCCTCGCCCGACAACCCCGCTGTGCACGTCGAGCGCTCTGGCAACGACGTCGTGAAGCGCGCTTCCGAACTCCAGATCGACGAAAAGGCCGACGGCGCTAACGGCGACTCCAAAGAAGAGGACAAGTCGGCAGAGTCAGAGAAGAAGGATGACGACAAGTCGGCTGACTCAGATAAGAAGGAGGACGAGAAGACCTCCGAAGCCGAGAAGAAGGACGAGGAGATGAAGGACGCGCCTGACAGTGAGGAGAAGAAGGAAGAAGCGCAAACCAACGGCGAGTCCAAGGCTGAAGAGGCCAAGGAGGATTCGAAGGAAGAGGCCAAGGACGACGCGACAGAAGACAAGTCTGACGAAAAGGACGAGGAACCCCAGGCCGGCGACAAGCGCAAGGCCGACGAGGTAGCCGCGGATAAGACCAACGGCGCCGACGCTGACGCCGATGAGAAGCCCGCCGAGAAGAAGGCAAAGACCGACGAGGCTGACGACGATGAAGCCGAGGACAAGGAAGAAGCCGAGACAAAGCCTACCCCCAAGAAGGGCGGCCGCGCCAAGAAGGAGAAGAAGGAACCCGCAAAGAAGAAGGCGCCCAAGAAGGCTGCCACCGCCGACGGCACACCACGCCGCAGCGGCAGGACCACTAAGAACACCGCATCAATGGCGGAAGACTAGAAACGCAGCAGCGCAGTCTCATAGGTTCAAAATGCATATAGTCACGGATGGCGACGCAAAGGATAACAATGAAACGACCATGGAAAATGGATACTGGATGGAATGGAATGGAAAAGGATCTGTATTCATCGGTGGCAGGCGCTCATAAGGGATCGATTTCGCACTCTCATTTCCTTTTTTTGAGGCTCTGCTTTTACTTCGGTATCGTTCGTCTGCTTTTCTGGGCTTGTGTGTAACTGTAACATGGAATGAATCAACAAAGTTGACATGATATGTTTGATTCGCTTGATCAAATACTCGGCTCGCTTTTCTTGAGCGCAAAGGTGTACGATGTTAAGTGTTGAAAACGGTAGATGAAATGTCTCGAATTACTATGTGACTCATCTTACTGTAGGACAGTCCATGTTTCTTCGGTGGTACACAATAACGATAGCACGACGCCGGTGATGTGCCAAGATATCATGGTTCTTATGATCTCACTCCTTTCTTCACGTTTCGTCACAGATCACACAGAGACGAAATCACAGTATTCAGAAAGATGCTGGCATTAAGAGGCATGACTATGAACTACTACTTGCTTCGCGCTGCGGCTTGTGTCCTGTAATGTACGTCAGCAACTTGCCTCAAACATAATAAAGCGACGTGACATGTATGCGTAATCTCTCATTCAGACAGGAAATACTCATTCAATAAAGGCCGTGAAACCTTCTCCGATCCGTCTTGAAACTTGTGATTTGTATTGTGTTCATCATTGCGAGATGGGGATGTGGGGAGTGTAGGGAGAGAGAAGAGAGTGGTGTACTTACTTGGATGATTGCAGAGAAGGCTGGGGGCTGTGAAAGGTTGGGTCTGCCGTTAGTTCTGGGATTGTGACTGCAGCTTCTAGCAGTTGAGGTGATCATCGTGTTTTGCGCGTCGCGATGTATTGATCGCGCGTGAGACGCGGTTGTAAAGGATCTCATCAACGCATGTCGTAGCTGTGCCGCCAGGGTGTGGTGAGAGAAGGCTGAGAGGAGCTCTGCAGAGTTCTTGCGCGTTTTCAAGCGAAGGGTCTTGGCGGTCCGTGCCCGCCCCACCTTCCTTCACCACGATCTCACTCTCCTTGTCCATCTTCGCGCTCGTGTCGTGATAGTCCTGTTATCGCTCTGAGCTGCTCAACGAGCTGCTCGTCATATCCTTGCTTGTCTCTGATCCGACTGTCATTGGCATCGCAGCCTTTTTGTTTCCAACGCTGAACAAGGCCGGCTTATTGTGCCTCGTTGCTTTCAATGTAATGCTCACGACGAGTGAGCATTTCGGCCCTTGAGCGCCCGGATTTCGATACAGCTCAAACAAAAGTTGCAACTCGGTAGAGCATGCTCTTGTACAGCGAGAATTTCCCACCATGCGGCTTCTGCACGCACGCACATTGGAGCTGAAGACGTTCGTCGACAACATCCCACCATATGCCATCCTTTCGCACTGCTGGGAGGATGAAGAAGTCGTCTTTTCTGATATCACCAATATCAAACAAGCGAAGAAGAAGAGGGGGTTTGCGAAAATCGAAAAGACCTGTGAAATTGCTGTTGCAGATGGGTTGGAATATGCTTGGGTCGATACGTGCTGCATCGACAAGAGTAGCAGCGCTGAGCTTTCAGAAGCTATCAACAGCATGTTTGCGTGGTATAGAGACTCGGACCAGTGCTATGCGTATCTCTCCGACGTCGAGTTCAAGGGTGCATTCGGGGAAGGTCAATCGGCAAGGTATCGCATCGCCTTTTCGCGCAGCAGATGGTTTGAACGTGCTTGGACGTTGCAAGAGCTACTGGCTCCTAGGAACTTCCATGCTGATGGGGACCACAACTTTTACAACCCTTTCATTACCAATCAAATTCCATCTGGTAGATACGATGGTATGAAGTTCTATTCGCGCGACTGGCAACTTCTTGGACTCAAGGTCAACCTTGGCAAACAAATATCAAAGATCACTGGCATCCCCATGGAGTATCTCAACGGTCAGAGCTTGGAAGGTGCGAGCATAAGTATGCGGATGTCGTGGGCTGCAGACAGACAGGCGACAAGATCTGAAGACATCGCTTACAGCCTACTTGGTATCTTCGATGTCAACATGCCCTTGCTATATGGCGAGGGGAGAACAAAGGCGTTTAGAAGGTTGCAGGAAGAAATCATGAAGATCTCAGAGGACGAGACACTATTTGCATGGGAGGCTCCATACCGTTGGAAGGCTTCATATCGTATGAATGAGTTAGCCGCAGACGTACTCGCGTCTGCTCCAAACGATTTTCGGGAAACACGAAGCCTGATACCATTCGCTTCGGACGATCCTGTGCCCCCTTCCACGATGACCCACAGAGGCCTACGCATATGACAAACGCTGTTCCACACTCACCAACTCGACAAGGATGAATGCGGAATGATTCGGCCTCTTCGCTCCCCAGTCATGATTTGGCCGGATCGCGACATCGTTTGGGGGATCTTAAGATGCCATGTGGCTCACGACTTCCAGCACTTCGTAATCGTCCCTTTGCTGCATTTATCTGGCGATCTTTATGTAAGAGATATCAGTACTAGCGTGTCATTAATCCCATCCGGATGCGTACCTCCTTCGGCGCTTCCCAGGGAAATCTACATCCGGAACGTTCGTACATCAACCATCGCGAACAATTTTTGGCGGCGATGGGGATTCCTTGTTCGCAAACCTCCAGAAGGCATCGAGATACGACGATGCTTCCCCAAAGAAGCCTGGAATGAAAAAGATAACATCCTGCAGGGTAAAGACAACGACATTGGACCTTCGTCCTGGCACGCATCCATAGAACTGGACTTCACTCTCGCCACTAAAACAGGGCAGACTGCTGAATACATGATTTTCGTGTCCATTGGATGCAAGAATGATGCCTTGACAGAGAAACCACAACCCTGGTGTTATGTTCATGACGCTATCTGGAGGCAAGGTACCATGAATCTGGAAGCATTCCATGCTATTTCATCGTCGAAGCCTGCACAGCACGAGGTTCAGCGCTTCCGAGCGGGAAATATGACTAGAACGGACCTCAGTCTCAAGGTGTCCATCACACCAGCCAAAGTCCTTTCGCAAGACATGTTTGTCGTAGACCTTCAATACGGAGAGCTCCAGCAGTATTTCGCTACAGCCATACCTGGTGCACATGAGCAGCAGCTACCTCCCAGTGTATTTCACTCCAGTCCTTCGATGCACGATGTTCCGTTGGTGACAATACCAAGCATCTCGGAACTCTTGGCTACGGGCTCTGATTCTCCAAGTTTTCATACACAGCCCACCTGAACGCGCACAGCCCTATCAATCGCAGATCCCTAACATGGAAAGACTCGAATTTGCACAACCCACGCTCACCGAAGACGCCCAGAATGCAGATCGATGGTATTAGCACGAGCGAACTATGTCACGTTAGCGAGTTAAACTTACGGAAAGCGCAGCGTACTTACCTTCGTCTTATGCACCAACTTCCAGATGATGATCGGCACGATGAAGAGCGGTATGCCAATATACGAGGCAATGAAGTCACCCGTACTCCAGTTCCCCTTCAGGAAGACAGGGAAACCAGTGATCAACGTAATGATAGTGGATCCAATGAAACCATACCACGCGGTAAAGGGTTGGAAAGGGCTCTTCCAAGGCAAGCTATCCCGGCTGAGTCCTTGCGCTTTCATAGCAGCATGGAAGCGGATGAAGCAGAAACATAATGTAGCCCAGGCGATCAAGCCTGCAACTGTGCTTAGACTCACTAGCCAACCGAAAGCCTGCGCCGCGCCTCCCTCGCCCAGGCTGAGGTATGCAAGAGGTCCAAAAAGCCAAGACGCAAGGACCGCGTAGTATGGTACTCCGTTCTTCCAGGTGCGACCGAAGATTTGTGGAAGCTGGCGATCTGTGGTCATTGCGACAATAATGCGGGATCCGACCCAGCAGTATGAGTTTCCAGCCGACCAGGCAGAGATGAGAATACAGGCGTTGACGATCGAAGGCAGTACGCTTATGCCGGCCTGTTTGATCGCAATGACCCATGGCGAGGAGTTGGCGTTTCCAGTGCCTGATACGAGACCGGGGTTCCTAGGGTCGACGATAATTCCAATCAGAAGAGCGCCTAGGATGTAGAAAAGGGCGATGCGGAATGTGACCCTTTTGGCCGACTTTGGGATGGCCGAGTGAGGGTTGATGCTTTCAGCAGCGGTGATGACTACCACCTCGACACCAATGAAGGAGAACGCTGCGTTGACGAACGAAGCTAGGAATCCGAGGAAGTGACCTGTTGGCCCAGAGATGCCGTTGTAGTCCACCCATGCGCCTGGATTGTTCCAGTAGCGGAAGCCAATTGTTTCACCGTTTGGCGCGCCTCCGGAGGTAATGACGATGGAAACCAGAATGAGTCCAAGAAAGCATGCAATCTTGATTGCACCAGCGACGACTTCAGATTCACCGAACCAACGAACACTCAGCAAGTTCGTAGCCAGGATGAGAACCAGACTGATGGAAATGACAACGGCAGGCGACATGTCGGTCCAATAACCCACAAGGATAGCAGAGGCCGAGCACTCGGCAGCAATGGATATAGTATAACAATACCCATAGCTTATAGCGAGCGAGAAACCAACCGCGGGATCAATAAACCGACTTGCAAAATGCGGAAACGAACCAGCAGTGGGAATCTGCATCTCAGTAAGTGACTATAACTCAAACCCCACATCAAAGAGTTACAAACCACAGTAGCCAACTCCGCAATACTCTGCATAACACACCAAAGCACACTCCCCACAACCAAGTACGCAAGCAACAAGCCTGCAGGTCCAGCACTCGCATACGCAGATCCCGTTCCGATGAAAAGACCCGTGCCAATCCCGGAACAAAATCCTATCATGGTGACATGATAATTCTTGAGCCGCCGCTGAGTAGCCCCATGCCCACCAACATTGAGTTGCGGTTCGAGAATCGGTTTGCCGTCGTCGGAGCCATGGTGGTCGATGTGTGGTGAGCTTTCGATGTCGTGCTGGTGGATTTGGTTCAACATCTTCGACTACGATGTGACCGCGGAGACAAGGCTCTGGGGTATTGTTGGAGAACGCACAGGCGGTAGTGTGGCGGGGATGTGTACCCAGGTAATGTAAGGGACCGCACTATGGAAGCTGTCTTGGTGCTATGTACTATACTTGCTCTTGTGTTTGCCCGTCCCTGAAATTCTTTTCGGCGCTATCAAAGCACGTCATGTAAATCTGTTGTGAGCCTGGACCACCATGTGGTGGCGCGGAATGCAGTTGGGAAGTACTATACGAATACCTAGGTACCCATCATGGTGCGTGGTTTTGTAGGTTTGAACCTCGCCGCAGCGTCTAAATGGCTAGACATCTATCAGGCATTATCGATAGACTTACTCAGTTGTAGACCCTTTCTTGACAGGTGCAAAGCGTAGCCATGTGATTTGTTAAATGGACTAGTTCCCACTAAATCGTGAATTTTCGGAAGGGGCCGATCTTAGCGCGATGAAGTTTTCTTGATGTTCGCACTACCGTTACTGCTTCACGCTAGTTCAAAACGCTCAACAACAGAATTGTGGGTAACATCATAGCGTGCTTCTTTCCTAACATGACGAATTCATCTATCAAATCGCTCAGACCTTTACTTTCAGCGTCCAACGCCTTCCCAAACATGCCCACCGACTGAACAAGAAGCTGATCAGACTCAAACCGAGAATCGCGCAGAAGAAAGCTACCATTGGCTGGGGTCCAACTGTTTCAACAAGCTCTCCACTGATCGGAATGCAGACCAGCGTCGCAAGGGAAGCGATGAAGTACATGCTTCCATAGTATCGGCCAAACTCTTCTGCCCTGCATAGCTGTCCTACGCATGCGGGTGTCAGCGCCATCCAAGACCCTGTTCCGAAGCCGAAGAGCGCTGCGAACGCGTATAGTGCTGGAAGAGATGTTGTGCCGAGTGGCAACCATAGGGCTAGCATCCAGAGCAAGGTGAAGACAATCATGATGAACAAAGTGTTGAATCGACCAATCTTGTCCGCGGCGTACCCGGGTAGTAACCGTCCGAGGCATGAAACACCGTTGAGCACAGCAATGAGGTAGAAGCCAGTGTCAGGCGGGAAGTTCGTACTCAGCGTTGCGTAGGTAGGCATGATGCCCAGTCCACCGAAGAGAACGACCTCGAAACCGAAGACACTCAAGGTAAACAAGCTCAACCTAAGATCGCCGTAGATAGAGAGTGAGATGATGGCTTTCTTCTTTGCGGCGGCAGACGGCGGGATGCGAGCTTTCATCAGGATGTTGGCGATGATGAAGCAAAAGAGGAATACAAAGCCCAGTATCCGGAGCGACCATGCATAGCCGTACTTCGGAAGAGTAGTCCGCAGCACCAACGGAATCGTTAGACCACCAGCAGAGCTACCCATCATGGCGATGCCTTGCGTAAGACCTCGTCGTTCCTTGAACCAATGCGCAACTACCGCGAGACTCGTAGTCGTCAGCATGGCGCCGGAGAATCCTCCCAGTACGCCACAACAGAGGATCATCTGCCAGAACATGTCGCATTCAGCAAGCAGAAAGATCATCAGGAGGAACATGACACTTCCTGTCAAAGCGATCCATCGCGGCCCATACCGGTCGAAGAGCGGTCCAACCCAAATACCCAGCGCAAGTGACAGGTAGACAAAGACTGATGGGATCCATCCGATATCACGTGCCGACATATACGAAAGTTGGTTTTGGCCCCAGTAGTCCTGAAGCGTGCCGATAGACACCATGAAGCCAAAGGAAGGAAACAGCATCAACCACGCCGATGCGACCACGAGCCACGCGCGTAGCCCACCCTCGGGGAAATCGTCTTCAGCGTCAACAATGGGTATCCCAGGCTCTTCATCAAGTTCGTCGATAGGCTGCGTCCGATGCGACCGTGTGCGCCTATGCGATCTGACTTCCATCTCGTGATGCGCAGACTGCTTCGCTTCGCTTCCCGCCTTAGATCGACCCGTCATCTTTGACACCGTCCTCCTCAATCCATCCCAAATCTCATCAGGCTCGTCATAAGCATA